GTCCAGTTCCTAAGCCAGGTGGGTCTGCAGTATTCCAGAGCACTGCTGATAACCATACAGTTTTGTTATTAATGGCAAGCTATGTGGTTTTAGCTGGTTAAAACTACATCAATACACCAACGCACACTCTGGGGTCCCCAACCCTTACCTCTTGCCAACCTGCACCTCATACTTTCCGGAATTAGGTAAGAAGGATGAGTACCTCCAGGGAGAGAGTGCGCATTCCACTCCAACAATCTATCTCTGGGATTTCCATGTGTTGGTGGAATGCATAGAATTCTCAGTTTAGTTTTGGTTTAGATACTCTTAAGCATGGGTTTTCACATGTGTCAGACAACAGGCTGACCAAAAAAAATCCTACTGTTCATGCATTGTGGCAAGAGACTTGTGAAGTCTCAGCCGCAAAAAAGCAATAGTCAGGTTTAAGAAATACACTCAGTCAATTTGCTGCTCAAACTTTATATTCCAATACAATAGAAAGGTTACACAGGGGATATGAGTTTAAGATGTAAAATAACACAATATTGGTTGAATACTTCACATAGGTTGCAGGCGTGAATGATTTTTGTAGACAACTGTAATGACTTATTTCCTGTAAACTGCTAATTTCTGATGTGTTCCATTTAAATAAGAATTTATTTTAAATTTACGTTTGTGCTTATCAGGGTGAAACATCAACAATTTTCAAGCAGACTCAAGCCAGCATGACTTGATGCTAAGTAAAGTTTTAACAACTCTGCCCCAAAACACATATCCTAACATGAGCCTCAGCAGAGCATTCTGCTCTAGTCTTTTTTCTGCTTGCGACACTCGTTGACTTCTCCAGTGTTGCTACTATTTGGTGCTGAATTAAAGGCAATTTTGTGCTGTGTGCCCTTTCTTAATGGGAACTTCCCAACACATGTAGGATGCTTCCATCACTCCATGCACCACTAAGGTAATTCTTTAATGTGTTTTTAAGGAATATTTTGTTGGTTTATTATTTTTTCAGATACAGTTGCAGAAAAATGTGCAATGTCACATGATGCAGCCAGAAAAGTGAAAACTATGCTCAGAAGCACTCATAACACTTGCCTCATATTTCAGGTATAAATGAATAGATTTACAAAATCCAATCCTTTCCCTCACAAATACTCAATCAAAATTTTTTTTCTATCCCCCTCTTCCTCGAACATGGCACCCCACCATTGTAAGAGACATTATTCTACATGAAGAGCCCTGTAGAAATGCAAGTTGTTATTCTTGGAAATAATAATGATAGTAATGCATGCATTTAATGTATCATATTGTTAAAATGTCTCAAAGTGCTTCTCAAGATTTACTCTAAAGTGTAGAGGCAACACAGTAGTCAATTTGCACCCAACAAACAGTCTTGACGTATCTATGCAATTTTACTTGGTGTATTGTTGACAAGTGCTTTCAGATCTTTACCCTTTGGACAGCTGGGACTTTGGTTTAACATCTCATCCAAAGGATTCCAACTCTAACAACGTAGAACACCCACAGTATTGACCGGGTGAGACTCCCAATACCCCACAGAGTAGGTTTGTGCCCACAATTTCCCATAGACTTGAGATCTGATTTTCCAATGCGCAGTTTTGAAAGGTGGCAAATGCAAGTCACCTACAATTCCACAAGAGAAAGTTCCAGAAATTAGCTAAATAACTAGCTAGTTTAGCTAGTTGATCCTAGTTTAACTAGTTAAATTAGGATTAATGCATTTAAACCTCTCTTTGCACTATGGTTGCAGTAATGGTGGATGTACAAGTTACCCAGACATTAAAGCCCAGGGAAGGGGCACTCTGTCAATTAGACAAAAATAAAATATTACATTTGCCATGTACCACTTCATACATTGAATATTTGACCCACTGTATCAAAGCACATTATAATACTATTAGCCCTGACATATATGATCCAGTTCATGTTCAGCAAAACTACCCCAAATTCTGAGCTTCGTTATATTGCAAACAAAATCATTGGCTTGATTCATTCCGCTCCAAATTACATTTAATTACCTTCCAAGCAGGTTTATGAATTTGTTCTAGACCATACAACAATAACATAGCAATGAATACCATATGAACATTTACAGTCATTACTTTTCAGACATGCTTTAATTACAAACCAGACTACATTCATTCTTTCAATTACAAATTATATATTTTCTCAAGGGGAACAAGAAATTAGGTTTCCAGGAGCGCACTTACATTCCCCAGATCTGAAATAATTACTGAATTGACGTAGGTTTCTAAAATCAACCTTACTATATGGCCTGCATATATCCCTGGAAACATTGACGTTGCTTTCCGCAGTTAACCAACTATAACAATGATTTACATTTCCTGTTTCAGATCCCTTTGTCCGACTGAATTATGTGCAGGAACAACAAAGCAAAATCAAATTATCTGAACAGAAATTTATTTTGTCGAAGAGACAGGAGAATGAATTTAAACAGATCTATAACTTGGATCTTTCAAGTTTGTCGCTGTAGCTGAGAAGATGAAGAAGAGAAAGCCAAAGATAGTGAGTTTGTTAGAATGGAACCTGATTAGCCAGAGGGAAAGGCCAAGATCCAAAAGCACTGGCTAGAAATATCAAACCTTGACAATTTTGAGATCAAAGTCGACAAAGGATAAGGGTAGAGAGGAGAACTGATCTAAAACGGTAGAGGTAAGCAGCAAACAACTGGGTGGGCTGGATCTGAAGCAGCAGAATGGATACGAGGAAAAAGCTCTCCTGCTGCTATTGACAGTTCCTGCATTTATTACTGACTTTTGACTGCAGTCAGGATGTAGATAGTAGCAAGAGAAATCCAAAGAAAACTTTTATTCTACTTGTGATAGAAATATTTCTACTAATGGCATGTTAAAGAACAGAGAGGACCTTTCAGGAAAACGTCAAGTAGAAATATTTCAGATCATCATGAAAGGCAGGAGTGTTAAATAAATTCTTCACCATCAATAGTTTGGCCAACTTTTAGATCTTATTAATTTTTCATGCAGAAGTCTATTGTACAAGCAAATCTTAATAAGATGTGTTATGATGAAACAAAGAATTAAAATGTCCAACAGGATACAGACTAGAATCATCTAGGATACAAGATGAAACAAAAGGCCGCTGGTGAACATATTTCTAATAAATGCAAGTACTGTACTCGAAAACTATAAGTGAAAAAAGTGTATAGCTAGAAAGGTTACTTCATCCCATGAAGCCAGCTCCTTCCAGTCATGCTAAACTTCTCCTTTCAGGTAATTCACCCCAACAAATACAGTCCAGCTCTGTTATAACTTTGCAGTTGGGGTTTAAAATCCCAACCAGTGTTACAATAGGACACAATCATCATCTTGAGCTTCCGATTTGTGATGTCACCTTGGTGACCAACGATGTTACTGTATATGTACCCAGAAAGCCAGCCGATTTCGCACCAAAAATGGCAAACCTCCAGTGCATGAGGTTGTCACCAACATCACATCCTGCACGATGTACATGACCTCAAAAAGCCTTGCAATATTCAACTAAATCTAATAAAGCAAGTGAATCCAGGAATTATTCCTCTTGTTCTTTGAATCTCTCCAACACTTCAATAGTTTTTTTTAGGTAGGGTACTTAAAATGGTATTAAGTATTTTAAATCTGGCCTCCTGACAGATCTGTGGAGCCCTGTAGCATCATGGTTACAACATTTTAAGCTTGTGAGAGGACCTGGGTTTGATTCCCAGGTAGGGCAAAATGCTGGGCATGTTTCCTTGCTCCACACGCCTCTGTTTACCACGCAGTAATTAGGAACCCAGTTGTTCTTAAGGGATTGTTACCCCCAGATCTCTTTTCCAGGGGTACTAATCCCTTCAAAAAATAAATAAAATAAAAATCTACAACTGTTTGTGGGACCCTGCTCTGTGCAATTGGTAGCCCACGTTTTGCCCACGAAAACATACAGTTGATTCACTTTATAGTATATTCTGTGAAGTGCTTGAGACATCTAGAAGACATGATGAGGAGCTATATCAAATGCAAGGATTATTATTTATTTATCTATGCAAGGCTAGAATAGTTTGCTTTGAGTCAAAGTTAACCTAATGTATGATTAGTTTCATTGACAGCAGCTTTACATTGTAAACCTACAGAAATAATGAACAATAATACCCAATTATGCTCTTTTTACCTTGGTTAAAATCAGCAGAATGGGAGATGGATTTTTTAAAAAAATAGTTTTTTTTTTAGTATACATTAGTTTGCATTTATCTAAATGATAAATGCAAACTAAATGATAAATACAAACTTCAACCACCACTTCAATGCTATTTATTATGCCCACATATTATTCACCAGCCCACTTGGTTGACTACTTAATAACAGCAAAAAATAGAATATAAGAAATGCTCACTGAATTATTGAAAAACAAAGGACACAGAACTAAATGTATGTGGAACTCTACCAGTTGTTGTCCCTAGACAGCTTTATTCATTTATCATCAACATTTACTTCCTATTTCTAAAGGAATTTATCAATTAAACCAGCTAATTTGCATTGCTTCCATGAGCTTGAACCCATTTATAAAGACCCTTAAATTCATGAGGCATGATCTACTGCTTCTAAATGCATAATATTCCTAGTGCGTCCATGCTGTTAGCATGAGCATCAGAATCCTGTAAACAGGCTCAACCATTTTCCCCACTAGAAATATTAAAATAATAGCCTATAATATCCAGATTTGAAGAACTACAGAAAAAACAACTTTACAGTTAAGACTTAATTCAACAATTTGCCAAATGTTACATCGACTCTAAAATGTTACATCGACTATTATTGAAACCCAGGTGTAATTTTCCCCATTCATTCAATAGTACAGATCAAAGGTAACATTGATTTACAAACAAAATGGTGATTATAATTTATAATATTTTATTCAATGGTAGCAACATTTATTGAAATAGATTTTATTGGAGTATACAAATAACAATACATTATGTAACTCAACATACAAATAACCCAACTTACCTGGGGCCGGATAACCTTCTCAATATTTTTCAATGCTGTGTCCGGGGATGGAGGTGAGCAGTCTGGGGTTGGGCCTGTACTTTTTCCAAGGAGATTACCCTCTGGTGCAGTAATAGTTACTTGTGGTGCATTTTCTGCAGGTAAAATACATTTTTTGATCACATTTTCATCATCTTTGATTACTTTTTATATAAATATGCATCTTATTTTTAATAAGAAATTCACAAGAAAATATTTTCTCACTGAGTCATAAGCACTCAGTCCCATTTAAGACAAACGTGGTGTTTGATAATACTTCATCATTTTGATGTCTGAATTATGACTGATTGTTTAATTTCTATATCTTAATCATTTCAGGTGCCACAACACTCTATCCTTTTATTTAAATCAAAATATTTACTCTAACATGAAAAGAACACAAAAAGTACTGTGACCACAGTAAGACTACATCTTACCCTGAGATTCAACAAGAAATGTGACATTCATTTATATGTCCTTTATGGTAAAGTACCATTAATGGTAATATTAACACAAAGGATGAATTTCTAATATCCAGGATCAAGCAGTGAGGTGGATTTGTGGCAAACATAGGAAGAGGCTGCAGGGAAAAGGTCACCAGCCTACGCTAACGTGTGGCTAAGCATCCTGGAGGTGGAGTCAGCTTCACAGCCGACACATTTATTTGACCTGGATTAAGCAGCTGGTATTGGATTTGGACCTCGAGAACATCAGGTGGCTGTCACAAGCTGTCCTGTAAAGATCCTCCCACAGCACTCAAGGCAGATGTACTGATGAGGAAACACTGAGGTTGGGCGACAGCTGGTTGAAGGGGTTACCTGGAGTCCGAGTTTGTGAACACACGCACGTGTATCATCTGGAATCCACCTTAATTGGTTTGCAGAGAGGCAAGCAACTGCTGCTTAAATTCCACACCTCCAATTGGTGGAAGCCTTGCTCAATGGGAAGGGACATGTGCCCGAGCTGTGGACAGGAAGACAGTGGCAATGCTCTCACGCATTTCATGATGGAGCTGTGTTGCCCACTGAGAAGCTCACAGGGAGTTCCTGGTACCTGCCATCCACCTAGAGAGGGCTCAAACCTGTGCTTTTCAGATATAAGCAGGATGAGGTCCACCAGGATGAGAATGCGCATTCCATTCCAACAATCTATCTCTGGGATTTCCAGGTGTAGGTGGGATGCATAGAATTCTCAATTTGGTTTGGATACTCTTAAGCACGGTGATGGGTTTCTGCATGTGTCAGGCACCTGGCTGGCGAAAAAAAAGATGAAAGACACAGAAGGAATGGAAAAGGGACATTCAACTTATCTTACTCAAACAATCAATTAGATGAATTTGCTTAGATTATTTAAATTGCCTTTTACCAGTATCAAGGAGGGAGAGAGGGAACTGGTAAAGTATCCTGGTCTCATGCTGTCTGAGATCAATCAGTGAACCTGGCACTATCAGTTCTTTTGATTCAGCTTCCTTGTAAATAAAATTGCTGTAATTGGGAGCTCATTTTTCTTCTCTTATTGACAATTTTGTTTTTTAATAGATGTATTTAAGCACGTATACATTACAAATCAAGTAGGAAATTAATTAAATCAAATGTATAAATACATTTTGTCCTTGCAATGTTTCTTTAAGTTGTTATCAATCTTATTAAAACTAACTCTATGATGTACAGAATCTATAAACCTGTCCATATGTAGCAATTTAGAAAGTGCTATAATCATAATTCATTGTTAATAATAGCCATCTTAGATTTCATTTTGCAGAAATGTAAAACTTATGTGTTTGATTTGATTTTCTGATGTTAACATTTTGCAAAAGGAAAACCTCTGTATTTTGCATTTCTGTAATGAGTCTATGGCTGAGTTACATTTTTACACCTCTGGGATTGAACAAGATTTGTAATTACGAACATGAATTTGGGAAAGGATGAATACATGATAAGTATTATTGTCATTGTAGCACAGGAAGATAGTTCCGCCTCACAATATCCTGATGATTTCTCATAATTTGAAGGCACGCTACTGTTTTAGGGATTGTCGCTATCTGTGCAACATTAAAGCAGCTTTTGATACAATTTGGTATCTTCAGAATACACATAATCTTCTTTACATTCCATGTTCATTCTTTAGTTCACTTTACAGTGACTCCTGAGTTACCAGTCTTACAAATGGATTTTCTGTCATTATATTAAAAGTCTAAACTTGACCATTTTGTGCTAAATTGACACAATTTATTAACTTGAGAGACTAATTTTGTGTTGCCTAGTTCTGTCAAAGTCAATGTCTTCTTCTGCTGCTGACTGGAAACTGTTTTACAGCTACATATAACAAGCAAATGGAACACCCACATTTCCACAGTGCAATTGTGTCTGTATATGACAGCACAAAAAGAAAACTTTACTTTCCATTTTCAATTTCAATCTGTTTCTAAAAATGTGAAATAAACAAGAAAAGCAGTAAAAAAAACCCGCAGAACACTCTCCCTCAATCGCTCTTCCTTGCCCCCTCTCCCTTTCCAAATCCCGTCTGAAAACCTTTGATTTTCGACTGTGCTTCAGGTCGCCCTCTCCCAACCACCGCTCAGAGTCAGGTTCCACCACTGTTAAGTGCTCTGAGACGCTACCCTGCGTGGAGGGCTGCTTTATAAATGCAAGTTGTTGTTGTAAAATGCTGATAACTATATACCACACATTCTAGACTGAGAGGACACAAGTTTAAAGTATTTCCTATTGAGCATCAGCTGGCACATCATAATCATTACCATAACAGCAACAAATTTTAATGAGACATATACTCCAATAAATCTATTTCAATAAAAGCAGCCCAACTTTGACTCAGATCTGGCAATAATTTATCTGAAAAATGACACTGCAGACGATACAGAGTTAAAGATTTCTGTGTACCTGGAAAGCAGTTATTTATCCAATTGTTTGTGCTTTTCAGTGCTCCGAGAAACTACCCCATGGTGAAGGGTGCTATATAAATACAACTATTGTTGTTTTGCCAATCAGTGGGGGCAATCTTTCAAACAATTTTGCTCCTTTCATTGGAATATTCTCGCCATATCCCCTTGTCATATTTGTCTCCCTGTTTCAGAACCCATCTAAAGCCTATATTTTTGTCTGTGCTTTTGTTCTTCCTACCTCACCCCACCCCCATTCTCTCACTCTGCTTGAATCCTACTTAGTAACGTGCTTTAAGATGTTCTGCTACTTGAAAAGCGCTTTTCAAGTGTGGCTGGTGTTGTGGATTACTCATGGCTATTGGTGGATAGTCGTGAGTAATCAGTGGCTAAGTATGAGTAATCCACGTTTCACAAAATGTGAAATTGATTATTAAGTATTATTGATTACTATTAAGTAACTATTTTATGATATGTACTTTTGATAGGAAAAATTCCTTTATAAACAAACATCATCAAAGTCACTGTACTTAGAAGCAAGATGAATTTCTGGCCCATTACTTGTGGCCTGTAGTTGACCTGTTGTTATTTATTAGCAAATCTTTGGACCATCTGTCACTTTGTTGCATTTAATCAGTGCTTATATACTTATTCTTTGCTTTTGCCAAGTGTGTGTGGAAATTTGGATAGCACGAAACATAACGTATCTTCATTTTGCAGCATACGAAATTGTTGTAAAGAGACATTTTAACCTTTCACTATTACCCAATGTTTAAAAGTTGAAAAAAAAGTACTGCTTCAAAATATATTGAGACAATCACAATCACCTGGATGTTGGTTGAGTTGTAAATGAAATAAAGCTATTCACTTTATCAAAGCTGATTTTATTCCCAGCAGTTTGCTTGAATTCAGTGGGCACATTGCCATCAGCACAAATAGTGTTTGATTTTTCAAGATACATATGTCAATTCCCAAATGTACCTTGAAATGATTATTATACAAATGATGCAAAACCTTATATGTGTTGTGTTTTTGGTTTATTGGTAGATTGTTCTCTGGACAGAACAGCTCTGTGGAAATTAACTGCAGACACAAGGTACATATTGTAACAAATACAATCAGATGGATGATTTGCACCACACTGGAAATCTCTATTATTACAGGGCCTGTGCAGTACAATATTATCATATTCAGTATAAGTGACAATTTGAAATGGTGAGCAACAATAATTTGTAATGGCTAAATAATTTTTTTTTTTATTTTTATTGTCTCAATCAGTCAGTTTGAAAAAAAATCCTTTTTTTAAGCCAAGATACGAGAAGAATCATTTAGACTGTGGACAAAAGAGGTTGATTGAGAATTCACCAGCAGGTCAATTTGAAATCCCAATATTACCTTCAATGGATGATTTCAGCAGACCTAACTAGTGGAAGTAATGCAGTTGACTTGTGCATTTGATTTTCCACTCCACAACCTACAGAAAATGGTGAAGAATCTTGCTAAAGGGAAGAATACTTTCAGGGAAACATTTGCTGTTTTAAGTACTCCATCCAACAATAATAAGAAACCTTGCATTTGATACAGTGCCTTATCATGTCTTCTAGATGTCTGAAAGCGCTTCACAGAATATACTGTATATTTTGTGGGCGAAACGTGGCAACACAGAAGTACCCCACAAAGAGTTATAGACTGAGAGACCAAATTATAATTTTTTTGTTTTGTTTTGAACACTTTATTACCACCGGAAAAGCGATCTATCAATCGACTAACAACCGGGTTCCTACTTACGTTAGGTATGCAGATGCTGACAAGTAAGGAAACTTTCCCAACATTTCGCCATCCGGGAATCGAGCCCAGGTCCTCTCGCTTGCGAGACGAGTGATCTAACCACTAAGCTACAGGACCATTGAATAAATAATTCATATAAGGTAATATTTTACCAATCCAGAGGAATCTTTGTATTCATCATTCCCTGAAGCACATCTGCTTAGCAATATAAGTATATATTGCTAACAGACGTATACCTCTGCTATACATTTAGAAGAGACTGGATACATCCAAGAGATATTCCAATCAGTCTATTGCAACAAATACAATTGACCACTCTTAAAGCTGAGGTTTCCCAGGAATTATTTGGCAATGTAAGCCAGGTTTTATTCATAACAATAGTCGCAGATATAGAAAATAATAGACAGGGGCTAAAGGAAGCCTTAAGAA